AGCTGACTCCAACACCCTATTTTATTGTTACTATAGTTTTTACATCACACAGCGTAATCAAAAGACGTATATAGGGGTGGTTACAATGTATCACATAACAGACACTTTCCAGATGCAAGGCTATGCAGGTGGGTAATGATTCATGCATCCTGCTTCCCTTGTTCTTATCAGACCCTGTCCAAATGGCTGATGAATGTGTTCCGTGTCTAGAGCAGCCCGTTTGTTATCTCAAGGACTTTGTGGGAGCATGTCTATGGGCATATTTATGCAATTAATTCCACAATACATTTTATTGTTATACGTCTCTTTCCCCCAAAGGATACACAGTCATCTCTAAATGATCTAATTCAGGGGTCCCCAAACACTTAATGAGCCGTGAGCTGTTCAAAACGGGCCACCCAAAATGGAGGGCAAGCATGCATGCACATCCCTCCCCTTGTGCATGTACACACATTCCAATTGAGGGAGTGGTGGGCAAGCATGCCCACAACTCACATAAATGGAGCTGTGTGTACACCTTCACTTGCGGACCACTCACGTGAAACCACCTCCTCTCCGCCCTCCGCAATAGTCCACTAAACTGGAAAGGTTGGGGAACTCTAATTCATATGTCGTTAATTTAGATGTTACATTTTAATTGTTGTGCTTTCATAAGTTATGGTTTTTTATGAAATCTAAATGATAGCCATACAGTGGGACTTGTTTGGAAGACATATAAATGACATAAAATAAAATACAACAATTCTTCTTGAAGATAAGTTGGATATGTTTTCTGATCTTTAAGTGATCAGAGAAGTACTCAGTTCTTTGGTTTTTAAGGATTCTAGGACTGTGTTGCAGACAGAAGAAAAACAATCACTCCAGAGTTATATTGTAAAAAAATAGGGTCTTGTCTCATTCAAGCTAGCCTTTTCCCTGGGATTAGGGTAAAGGAGATTGGGTTCTTTTGTTTTTTGAGTTTATAACACAGTTCTGTACGTTACCCATCTCAGATGGGGAAACTCTCCATCAGTTTTTGGCAAGTGTCATAGGAGGAAGCTCTAGAGAGCACATAAAAAGAATATGAAGTCTATAAGGACTCTTGAGGTCTCAGCTTTCACTCATCTCTTATAAAAGAGTACACACTGAAGCTAAAATAAAACATCACAGTACAGATTTGTCCCCTATGCATATTGCTGGGATTGGGTATGTCTAGTTTAATGAAGAGAAGGACTAGGGATGACATGATAGCAGTGTTCCAATATCTCAGGGGTTGCCACAAAGCAGAGGGAGTCAAGCTATTCTCCAAAGCACCTGAGGGCAGAACAGCCAGCAATGGATGGAAACTAACCAAAGAGAGAAGCAAGTAGAACTAAGAAGAAATTTCCTGACAATTAGAACAATTAATCCGTGAAACAACCTGCCTCCAGAAGATGTGAATGCTCCAACACTAGAAGTTTTTAAAAAGAGATTGGACAACCATTTGTCTGAAATGGTATAGGGTTTCTTGCCTGAGCAGGGGGGTTGGACTAGATGACCTCCAAGGTCCCTTCCAACTCTGTTATTTTATTGTATTACTAGCTGTACCCAGCCACGCATTGCTGTGGCTCAGTCTGGTTAAATGGAAAAGAAAGAAAAGAGAAAGCGCATGTTTGTAATATGTTTAATTTCACAATGCTTGTGGATATACAATATTTTTTGTTGTTCCATTGTCTGTGCAGATATAGAGATTTTCTGAAATCGTAGCGTGTGTTGCTTTTATGTCCAACAGATGGCGCTGTTTTAAAAAAAAGCATGCTTTTACCTGCTACAGGTATGACATCTATATAATGTTCATATATAAAAACACGTGTGTATTCGAATGCAACGTTGTGTCAAAATTTCAAAGCAATCAGTGAAGAACTTTCAGAGATTTAAGATTTTGAACAAATGAACATTTACATTTTTATTTATATACATTGTATATAATTAACTTTCCACAAAAATCATTCTGGCTGATAGGGCACGGATGGGACCATTTTGACTATCTATGTAACACTCTTTTACTTGAGTAACTAAGCTATAAAGAATAACAACCAAAAATCAAACCTCAATACTAGATTATTGCAATCCTTTTTTACTCCTGTTGGATTTTTCTGATCCAACAGCTAGTTTTTTCATGTAGATACCCAAAAGAAGATGCCAAAAATTAGCTGGCCTGGAATGCACATAAACAAACTTCCTATGCACAATTATCCAGACACTGCATTTTTTTCCCCTCATTAGTAAAGTCATCTTCTCCATATACAAAAAGGGGAAGAGAATAACAGAAGCATTCTCCCCCAAGCAAAATGACACTACACTTTAAAAAAGGATTAGGGATATCAGCCAATTAAAAGAATATATAATTTTATAATATGTTATAATGTTTCTAAAATTTTAGATAAAGTAGTATTAAAATTTCAATCCTTTCAAAGTTTATTTTCTTCCACGAAGAATAATTAGTGAACTACACTTAGCATCCTTTCATTGACAGACTTTGTTATAGAGATAGAAAGATGGGATGGCAATCTTTTTGCAACCTGGGGGATATGTAACTGATTTTATATTTCTTTAAAATCCCCTCCCCCGTCTGTTATTTATACATAATTTGGCAAATCTAACTGATCTTTGCTGTGATGGCCTACATATATTATTTTATGCCGTCCCAACGTAGCAGAATTAAATAAGTCTGCCTCATCACTAAAAGTGTATCTTATTAATGAAGGCATAGAGAAAGATCCTGCTAAGGTTAACGTTAAGAGGAAAAGGTCTCTCCTTTTTTATAGACATTTCTAAAACTCTATTTTTTATTAAACATGAGCTAGAGACTCTGATGGTTAGAATCCCAGATCTTCTGGAAAGTGCTAGATCCAGGCTGATTTATGCAATGTAGAAAAAAATGGGCAGACATAGTATATTCAACTGGGAGGTAGCTTGAGATATTGTTTAGTAGGCTTTGACACCCTAATATTTGCACAGAAAAATCAAGTTGTCAAAAACGTATCTCGTTACTTTTTTGAAGAATTGTTAAGTTTTTAATATTGGAAGGAATCCTAAAAATCACCTTCTGCCTTGTTGCAGGCAGCTTGCAAGTACAACATCTCTAATAGATAGTTGTTGCTTTAATACTTTGAGAATGAAAAACAAATTTGTCTCTATGGCACCAGCTTTACTTTCACAGTTTTTAATCCTTGTTCCAATATTTAACTGAAATCTAGCTGACCAGTCTCAACCATTATTTCTAGCCTTATTTCATGCAGCAACAGAAAATGATCTGCTGAATTCTCCACAATGACCAGTCTTCCCTTAAACTGCATCACAAAATATTCAAAAAAAAACATAAGGAATCAGGGAACCTCACTAGATGACATTCCAAAGTACCAAAGGTACTTAAAATCCCCACCATTTGCTCTAAATTTTAAAAGGTGCCATAATGAACAAGTCAAATAATTATGAAGCTTAAATTCACATAACATGCATTATTCAATATTTTAAGAGATATTTCATAGGAAACCTATTAACATATTTTATTTAGTCTACTTAGCTCGTATATCAATTAGTACAAATGTGTACCACTTACTTAGAAGTAAGTAGTACTGAAGTAAATATGAATTTCTTGTTCTACTTTATACAGCAAAAAGCTATGAAAGCTGCTGAATGTTTTGTTATTTTAATAGCGATTTACATCTTAATTAATATTTTCTCAGTTGATATTCTACCAATAGGTTGATACTTAAATTCCCACAATCCTACTAAGGGAGCTTTGACTATGCTCAGTGGAACTATGACAGATGAGGACCAGGACGATCAATAATAGAAGGTCCCTTTTAATCCATTTGGAGTTAAACCTCTTATAAAAACCATACCAATTTATTACAAATTATCTTCTATGCACAAAAGGGAATAGTTGGGATCCTATATCTGCAAGAAGCAAAGCTTATATAGGTCAAGACCTTAGGAACATCTTGCCTCTGGAAATGTGCCTAGCACCTTCCTCTGTGATCTTCTATAAGATAGAAAAGACATCATTTAAAAAAATGAAAGGCAATTGGAGGCCGGTTGCTATGGAATATTTGGGTGACAGGGAGGCCATATTTATTTCTTGTTTGTTGTTAAACTACCAGGTGTTGTCAATGCTAGGCAATCCAGAAACACTTGCAAAATATGCAAATAAAGATTAGAATCCCAAAAAATATAATTGGTATCTTTTGATTACTCGATAGGTTAGCCTTTTCTATATTTGGGTTAATCTCTTTCCTATCAGATTAAACCAAATCATCCTCTAAATTAAAAAACGATGTTTCTCAATCTTAGCAACTTTAAAATGTGCATACTTCAACTCCTGATCAGGGAATTATGGAAGTTGAAGTCCGCACATCTTAATATTGCAAGATTGGGAAGAACTGCTCTAAAGAGTAGTATTTTATTTCCTTCTACCACCAAGTACCGATTGTGAATGAATGAGCCTCCACTTTAGGAAGCTGAAATGGAAACTGGTTTAAAGCATTATCAAATCTGACCAAACCATCATGTGCACAATTTCGGAGCTCCTGCACCAGCTTCAGATACTAGCCTAAGGAATGTCCGTATCATTCTCTCCGGGAAGACACTTCCACTTCAGAGAAAGACTTTTAATGCCAATGTATTTCATATTTTGTAACCAGTTCCAATTCTCCTCCTCCGGGGAGGGGGAGAGAGCGCGCGTAATAAATACATTCAAAAAATTCACGAGCCACCATCTCCTTGCCAGCTGAAGCTCTTAAAACCATCTTGGAGTCCAGACTTACAGTCATGAACCGTATTTAGATTAACTGCGGAATATACCTTCCCTCTCGGTCGCTATCTAGGCAGATCCACCCCGAAAAACGATTCAGCCGCAGCATCTTTTTCCGGGCTTGTAGGGCAGAGAAAAGGGAGGGGTAAGGAAGGGAGGTAGGAAGGAAGAGCAGGACATCACCCACAGAGAGCCAAATTCAACCCGGTGGCAGGGCTGGCATTACCTTGCGCAAGGATTTATCCTAGGCTGTCTTGCTGCTTTAGGCAGCTTCTAGAGAGCGAGCAGGGGGAGACTGCGGGCTAGGTGGTACCAGTTGTTACCGCTGGGAAGATGCTCGGTTGGCTTCTCTTTGCCACCGATAGCAGAAATTCTGGTAGCTGCTGCTGCTGCGACGATCGCCTCTTCTAGAAATGTGCTGTCTCACGCCCGCCAGACTCCGCCCCGCCGCGGCTGCTTCCCTCCCACCTCGGTTGAGGCTCAGACGACATTGCCCTTCTCCCAGGACCTTAACGATTCTAGGTCAGAGAAGCCTAAACTAACGCATTCTGCAGCTATCCATAGGGAAAGGGGCCGCCAGCCTTGGTCTATGGGCAACTGTTTATCAGTTGTGAGAGGGGGAAAAAAACAGGTCATCAACTATAGATTAAAAGGAATCTACTGTTCTATATTTTACATGAAGGATATGATTCTGAATGTACATACCTAATACTATCCTTAACTATAGATTTGACCAGCGGTGGGATTCAGCCAGTTCGCATCACTTCAGCAGAACTGGTAGCTAATTTTTTGTTGCCCAGGCCCAAAATGGACTTCCAGAAGCAGCATCCACACAGAGAACTGGTTGTTCATATATTTGAATCCCACCACTGTATTTGACTGAGTAACAGGATGTCTAGATAGAGTGATGAAGACAACTATATTATGTAGCCAAGATTCAGATTTTATCCTACAAAAGCCTCCTAAAGCTGAATCATTATATTTGAGTATACCTTAGGTCAATGAAAATGCTAAATGTTTTAGTATTTAGTATTGCAAAAACAGCTGATGATTATGAAATCAAACTCAGTTGAACCCAGTTGCATTTTTTTCTTTTGACATCACTGACTGCAATTACAATTGCCCATCCTCTTCTCCATCTTCCCAAATTCATGCACTGAATTCTCTAGAAATTTCTGCACACCCTGGTATGAATGTATATATCTTTGAATCTTCTGAACAGCACTCTTATATTCCAAATCAATAAGTCAGTTCTAACAGTTTTTAGCTGAAAAAAATAGCATTTTAACTCAAACATAGTGTTATGTTTCAATAAATACATAGTAATAAAGCTCAGTCTACTTCCAAATATCAAGCTTAGCATAATCTTTTTTTCATTCATGAATGGAATTCAATGCTTTGAAAGCTGATGTCTTTGCCTTTATGATCTGGATGAATTAATTTGAAATATATGCATCATTTTAAGGTCCATACATATGAGAATGCATTTAAGCAACTTACATTTGAGAAATTAATTAACTGAAATGCATAGAATCAGAATATATATATATATATATATATATATATATATATATATATATATATATATATATATATAGCATTAAAAATATGAACCCTGGGTATATTCATATTTAAAATAAAATGAGCACCAGGGTAGTTAAAACTATAAAAAGTTTAATTAAAAAACTGGCTTTTGCCATCACCTGTTGGCATCATCAGGCTTACACAAGCCGGAGCAGGAAAGTGGAAGAGGGGGTGAGAACAACCAGGGAGACAGGGAGGGTGTTCCACCTATCCTGGAATCCAAGGAAAAGAAGACAAGTGATGACATACACGTAGATAAGTGGTGCAGGAAGAAACGGATCACCGGAGCGCAATCCATTCAATTAGGTCCGATAACAAGATCGAGGAGCCGAGTGCAGACCTTGGCTTGCTTATAAGGGACTTCCTCACTTCCTAGCGTTTTAAGTCCTGATGATGCCAGCAGGTGACGGCGAAAGCTTGGCGTTTTTTAATTAAACTTTTTATAGTTTTAACTACCCTGGTGCTCATTTTATTTTAAATATGTATGTATGTATGTATATGTATATATGTGTATAATATATGTATATATATATATATATATATATATATATATATATATATATATATATATATATATATAAATAAATATATATAAAGATAGCACTGAGGCACTGATCATAGCAGCACAAGAACAGGCGCTAAGGACCAGATTCCAGATTCATAGAAGAAGAGGTCCACCACACTAGGCAGACCCAAGAGGTCCACCACACTAGGCAGACCCAAGACTATGCAGAGAGAGACAGTCCAACACATAGCGGTAGGCTGTAAGATGCAGACAGGAATAGCATGCATCGAAAGGCCCAACCAAGTAGCTGGCCTTTGTACAGAAACATCTGTACAATATCTGTACAGAATATGGGTTAGACCTTCCTAAGTCTAGATTGGAGATCCCACAGAAAATTGTGGAAAGTAAGAAGGCTAAGATCCTGTGGGATTTCCAGATCCAGACAGGCAGGCAGTGCTGGCCAGTCAACCAGACATAGTGGTGGTAGACAACGACTAAAAGACAGTGATGGTACTAGATGTAGCAGTGCCAAGTGACAACAATCTCAGGAAGAAGGAATATGAGAAACTGAAGAAGTGCCAGGTCCTGGAAGAAGAACTAGAGATGATGTGGAAAGTAAAGGCCAAAGTAGTTCTAGTGATGGTAGGAGCACTTGGGGGTTGTGAGTCCTAAGCTGGGAAAGTGGCTCCAACATCAGAACTCTCTGTTCCTGCCTCGTGCTCTGCAAATTTGTTGGTGAACAATTTCCATAATTCCCAATCAATATGGAAATTGTAGTTGGACACCAATATAATGCCCCATAATACAACTCTCTTGAAGATAGATATCTCCTTTCAGATTCAAAGTAAAGCTTCATCCAGTACAATACCTTCATAATACCACATTATTACTCATGTAATTTTAAAATCAAATCTAAGTAATTAAACATTTTACTTATAAAATGTTTTCGAAACAGGCAATATTTGAAATATGTATTAGTATCTTTGAGAATACCCACCTAATTCTCAACTTGCATGGTGATTGTATGATTTATAATGCGTAGCTAAAGGCATTTCTCTTTTATTTATATGTCAGCATGCTCCTGATGCCACAGCTACCAAATCTGTGTGCTTATTGATAGGTTATCTTTGCTGTAAGATTAAAGTACATCACAAAGTATGTGACAGTTTAGTCATCTTACACAAAATGGTGAAACATAATAACATAATGCTTGAAAAATTAATTTATTTTTGTTAGAGCACTGAATTACTGTATGATTTATACATAATTGTATAGTGTGTATATACTTTTTGACTATTTTAATCAAAGAATTTTAATACTACACCAGTTAAGGAAACTGTTTAGAAGAAAATTGTTACTATTATCTCCATGTAAAATACAGATTTTGTAAGAACATGCAGGGAAAACTAATTCTAAATAAATTGCTGTAATTGTTAAGACAATTATGTCTCTGACAGCTGTATGTAACATTATTATTTAACTTCTTAATCTAGTCTTAACCAACCCTCCCCATACTTTATATTTTTATTTATTAAATATTTATTTGTCCTTTGTTATAGCAAACAGTTTTAACAGAACAGCTTGTAATGTGATTTAAATAGTAGAGCTATAATTTAACATTTTAATATGAAATAAATAGTTTTGCTTTAAAACACTGACAATATAACAAACCTTACAAATAGAAAGATCTTTGGAGATGTGTAAAAATCAAAAAATAAGAGAGAGCCTGGTCAATTGCTTTGGAGGAACAACAAAAAGGAATACATATTTCTGCAGCAATAAAATTAGTAACATTATCATTTTGAGAATTTTCAACTACTTTCTGTCCCTGAAATATATTTTTATAGTCGATAATCATACAACTTTTTAAAATTCTATATAATATTCTTTCTTTTTTAAAAAAACAAGTTTTATTGGTTTTTTCATTTTACAAACAAGTGCTTAAGAAATAACATGGTGGCAGGGCAATCAATTGTCCACAAAACAGAGTCATACTCATAAAGTTCAGATTAAATCATTAAAACCCCCTCTCTTTTCCCTCTAATGACATATTATATTCAAATTAATATATTTCAATACAACTAAATCAATCCTAACAATCCTCAATAATCTTTCATCCAAATAAATCCACAAATCCAAATCCTGTGTTAAGCTTAGCTATTTCAATTACTATATTCCATATTTCTAAACTAAATACATAATTAACACTTCGGGACTCTCCCCATTACCTTTTTCCTTAACATATTCAATAAATATTTATTAATGTTATTTCTTCTTTTTTCCTATTCTTCTTCCATTACAAAGTAACTATCAGTTCTAATTAAAAAAATATTAGCTCAAATCAGAAACAAAAAAAGAACAAAGAAAAAACAAAAACAAAATAAAAAAGAAAAGAGAAAAAATACCTTTCTATTTCTATTATACTTTATAATCTAACAATCAATCCCTCAATATCTGTATCAAATTTCTTTAAATTCCTCTCAAAATTACTATATCCAAAACATATTAATATATAGACAAACAACTTATTATTAAATTCAAACCTTTAATTAATTTTTATTCAATCTAACATCTTGTTTAACTGTCTTAAGCCATAAATCAATCCATATCTAATAAGCCTTTTAAACCCATTACATAAAGCCTTAAGTCACACTCTTAAATCTTATTCTACCTTTCCTTTTATGCCAAACAGGTTTCCATAACAACGCCTCTATATCAATGAACAAGTCACTTTTTATGCCTTGTAGTATCCTTTGAATCAAACAGAGGCGTCCTCTTTTCTGTTTTAGAGACCTAGCTCCTTTGTAAGTAATCCCTTGTTGTTTTGAAAAGTCAAATCTCCACGTTTGAAATTGTTGAATAACAGGCTCAATTATGTCCAACTTTGTAGATGATAGTTGTTTATCCAAGCTACCATAGTTCTCAATTTGTTGGGTTTGTCTGTCCATTTCTGTTGGTTTTAGGTTGTAAGTGGTTTAATTGCAGTCCTTTTTAGTTCCTCAGAGATCTCATCAACATGCATATGAAGTAGAATGGAATCTTCTTTACCTTTAGTTAATCCCACTTCTGTTGTTTTTTGATCTATAGAGTGCTCAAATAAAGTCTGGAAGTCATTTTGTAAATTCAAAGCAGAATTTCTGTTTTTTATTTCCATAGTAAATTCTTTTATTTGCAAACATATTTCATCAGTAGCTTCATAAAGTTTTTCCTGTATAAGTTTATAGTCAAGTTAAACCAAGGGTTGCTCCATTTCAAAGATAATTAGAAACAGTCTGTATCATTTAGTAGAGGCTGTTTTCAAGGAACATTCAATCAGTGTCCACCCCCATT